CTGGATATTTTTTAGGGGATTTAACTCACCCCCCATGGAAAATCAAATGGACCGTCCCTTATCGCGAGACAAAGTAACTCCTGCAGGTTTTGGCCTAGTCCCTCTCATTCACATGTTTACGTAATGCTCTTYAAATAGCACAYAACCCGTACGAGGCTCGAAGCTGTAAAATGGCTGATCACGAGAAACCTCCAGCCTATAACTATGGTGCAATTCCGCAAAATGACCCGAATTTCGCTCCTCCGCCACCATATTCTGATGCTGGTATGTTTAAAGTTTATATATCTATGTGAATGTAATAGAAATCCATTCGTTGTGAGCAGTTATTGACTATGTTGTGAGCGATAGAAATCACTGACCATATGACATCAACTTGAGGTCTAATTTCGTATTCAGTGATTGTTCTTTAAAATTTTAAATCACCGTTTAATGATGTTCATAGTTCTTTTAGCTCTAATTTGTATTCTATATATTATTGTAATACTAGTTRTAAATTACTCCTTCCTTGCTTGTTGTTCGTGCAGATCACATGATTTCAGTTTTGGATATTTAAGGCTTAAATAGAGATGTGATTTAAGTTAACTTATTTTATGGTCTTTATGGGTTGATCTTTTTACGATTGCATTTACGATTGCTCAAAAAAACCAAGGTCGGCACCCGGGGTCGGCACTTCGACCTTCTACATTCTGTATTTTATTCYTGTTCTTTATTTAAGATGTTTACAAAATTTGAGCAAAATGTGGTAACTTTCTTTTCGTCCTCTTTTTTTAAAGCAGTTATATTGCCAACAATAATTTAATTACACAATTTATTGGTTTATATGCATATGTTGGATAAGTAAAAGAGCTTTCTTTGGGATTAGGACAGGTGTATAAACAATATAGTTTCCAAAAATGGCAGAAAAGTTGTGTCATTCTATTTCATTAGATCATAAAGTAGCAGTACTCCATTATTACGTGGGCTTCCTGTGGAAGACCACGTCTTAAAARGCTAGTGGACTTTTCTTCATCGTCGTGAARATTARGCTTAAAATGCAGTCTCAGTTTCCATGGGGATGTCAAACTAAACCAATCRGTTCTTACTTTCATTTTTGACATGTATTGTTTTGGATATAAGTCGGCCCTCATGGACTGATTGCYATATCTAGCTTTACTTAATAGCTGCMGTGACCTGGTTTGTGACCAAGAAAAGGAAACTMATCAAGAAAATGAAGGAAATCAACCCTAGAACTCTGATCTCACTTACAAWTGCTCACGCCYTTCGTGGTAGACTAACKCTAAAAGATGTTCAGTGTAATTTTCGGAACATTCCGGTCGACAAACTCAAAGTTCTTTAATACTAGTTCTTACGAGATACAGTATCACATTCAAACAATCAAAATATTGCTCAAAGTTACACACTAACAAAACTGCAAATACTGTACCTTTCTATTGTTTATATGACCTTTCAGGTCAAATCTCARGGAATTTGCATATTTTGAATAATATAGACGCTCTTAGAGCATAAAGTGGTGCTATAGGCTATTTTGAAAAACTGAAAAACAGGATATTTTAAAGAAGTTACTTAGAGTTCAGTTAAAATTATGATGTAGTAAATAACTTATATTAAACTAATTCTGTCTTGACTTATTTCAAACAAAGATTGTATCCTGAAAATGAAATAGCTCAATGGCGGCAGGCCCACYGAAGCGACCCATGATCGCCTAGTTTTTCTCTTTGATTTGACTTTGATTAAAAGAAAATCTATTTCTTAAGAAGTTATGCAGCTCTAGGATTAAAATATGTTATATTTTATAAATGCGACCTTACATGTGGTAATCACAAAAGTAAAGTTGAAGTTTTTCCTGTTTTATTGTCACCCAGTTTTCAAAGTAATAAAATAGTTTAAATAAAATATTTTCAAAAATTGCTGAAGTCACATAACAAATTTAAATTGCTTATTCCAGCGTATCAATTATTTTATCTTCAACTGACCAGGCCTTTCATTATATGGTGGCACTCTATTTGAGCCTATGGTCAATTATTCACAMTTACCTGCCCTGCTTTGATGCAAAGGCTTATTTATCCAATTAATTGCAGTAGAAACTTTAACATTTACAATTTGGAAATCCATTTATATATTTTTATAAATATAATATATGAATGTGACTAGGTCATCATAAATTGTGATGTCATAGTGATGTCATAGTGATGTCATAGTGATGTCATAGTGATGTCATAGTGATGTCATAGTGATATGTGTGTATGTAAGGATCCACCACTTTAATGATTATTTGATTTGAATTGATAGGTCCAAAACAGCCACTACAACCAAGCTATCCACCACCCCAACCAACAGCTCCTGCTACAACAACAACTATTATCACTCAACCAGCAGTCTATGCTGTGAATATGATATTTCGAGAAGCTCCTGTCAGTATGATTTGTCCTCATTGTCAAGCACACATTGTTACAGCTACTACTTATAATGACGGGARGTTAACATGGTTGTTAGCCGGTGGTCTCTGTCTTGTAGGGTGAGTTACGTTTCTCTGATTTAATCTTGTATGAACAAAAAATAGAACTGATAATTGATAACTCTAAATTGATTGTAAAATGACTTCTAAAACTCATGAATTATTCATTAGACATTCTTCCAATGAGCACTCAACTCTGGTTCACATGACAGGATCTATAACTCAAGTTATAAACACTGATTAATTAAACATGAGTTTTATAACTAACCGSTTCAGTTAGTTATAACACTCATGCATAAAACATCAGTGTTGTAACTGATTTACAGACACTCGATGTATGCCCAACACTAGAAAAGTTRTCAGTTTTAGACTCTCGTCATAGAACTTCACTAGGTCTCGAGTTAAAAGTACTTATTTGCAGAGTCACAGTACACTAAAACATAGTGGCGCTTGGATGTGGGAAACCAAGTTGATTACTGCTCATGCTCAGATGGAGATATCTTCATCAATTATTCATTTTTGATATTTTTTTATTTATTTCGTATTTCGTACTTCGGCCTCYTGTTTATATCTCACGATAAAACACTCCTACTCGTTTTTTAAATATCACATAACATCTATTGCTAATGTATTTTCTTTCTCTTCAATTTTTATTAGTTGCTGGTTGGGCTGCTGTCTTATTCCATTCTGCATGGATGGTGTCAAGGATGTCATRCATAGCTGTCCAAACTGTAAAAATAGYCTTGGTGTCTACAGAAGAATCTAGTTAGCATTTCCTGAAATATGACTTTTTAACGCATACATCAGGAGAGGACATAATTAATGGTGTCTAAAACTTATACAAAGTATATTCATTTTGTATGGAAGTAGCCATCTGTGTAACCTAAATCCAGATCAACCTACATTATGTAGATTCATGATAGGTCTTGTTTATAAAAAAACATTAAAATTCAATCAATAATACCTTCAAGATTAATTATCAAATATTTGAAAGAATGTTATTTCATTATGAATGAAATAATAATTATTATACAATATTAACCATATTAAATGGCATATATTAATGATAAAATTAATTAATTCAGTGCACCATTTGTGGCTTATACTTTTTGTACTTTGGAAAAATAAAMTGAAATTTTAGCATTTATTGTATTGTTCTTGCTGGGTTATCAAGGATAAATTCATGGGTATCTGTCTGTGGGTTGGGGGCTTCTATAAGCCCTCCCATGATAGCAGAGGATAAATGAATTTGATCAATTTGATTGGGATTATCTTCTCCCGGGGTCCTCCCCTTCAATAAAACCTTTCATGCTTTTCATAAGGTTATTAAAATATGATCCAATCACATCAAACCTATTCAGTATCTCATTTAGAGTAACTTGAAAAATGTGTTMTTTAAGCTAAGACATCCCGAAAAAGCGGAAAATCATCACATCCATTGCATTCCATAAATTCCTAAAACGGTGACTTCATGAGAGGGCGTCACAACAGAAATTTTATGTACACATAATTATCATAAATACACTTTATTGGCCGTGGAAAAATAAGCCAATCAATACAAGCCTTATAAACTGTTTTATTGTATAACATCGATTCTCATTGGTTAGGAAGATGTGATCACATGACTTCAGGTAGACGAAGGTGCGAACCCTCGTAAATCGGTTTACGGTGTGCGATACGTATAAATTGAGCAAGAAAAACTAAAACTAAGGTCTTTCATCTTCTGTTAAATCTTTCTCCYACATGCCAGAACCCGATCCAAGCAATGAAGCAGTTGAGGATGCTCCTTTGGAGAAGGAGTCGCCCAAGAAAGTGCCGAGAAACCGTATTCTTTGTCGCATTACGTGCTTGGATAAGAACTTTCTAACCGCCGAAATGCCTGTGAGTTTTTCAAAGTTTTTAGCAGAGTTGTTTTTCTTTAATGTCACCGTTTAAGCAAACAGAAAAGCTGGTTGATTCAAGTTGACGTGTTGGTTTGGAATTTAATAATGTTAGTCAAGTTTAGTTCGTTTTCGGCTTTCGTGTCTTTAAGGTACCATGCCATTAGTGCTAAAACCCCTAGATATATATTAGTRATTTGAGTGGCACAATTGTTCTGCCTTTCTCTTCTACAGCTCATACTTCCTTAGTTCAAKAAAAGCATTAGCTTCAGTTGTATGTAAATTTTGCTAAAAAGCTTGCAGTTTCCCTGTGTTGCTTGCAAGCTTGCATCCGATCTTGATCTTTGTTTTGAATTTTATAGAAGTCACGATCACGGTTGAAGAAAATCTCTAACAAGAAAAGAAGATCTATCCGTCTACAGCATTTAGATCTTTCCACACGTCGGTTAACAGTTATAAGAGTTATCTATTTTTAATGTTTTGTCTCTGTGGCTTGCAAATCTTGTGGTTTCGACATGGTTTTACAAGTATATTTCAGCCAATTTGACATTTTCACTTTACTGTACATAGAATGATGTTCACATCTTTTAGCTTACATTAACTTCACAGGCAAAATTTCTGATCTTTCCATCGAAATAGCCAGATATAAATTTGTAGTAGACCTTTTACTTGATTCGTCAGAGTACAATTTTAAAATAAATCAAAGTAAACTTAAGCTTATTCGTCAAAATCTTGTGGAAACTAAAAGATGTTTTGTGGTAAATTAGATCTCCCTTTTAGAAGTAGCCATTGCAAGTGATTTAAAAGTAATTCTCGCATAATATCACTTTCTTTTATTGCTTTGTTTACTAACTGCTTTGACAAAAACTCTTATCGCAGAAAAATGCCAAAGGTTTAGACCTCATGAGACGAGTATGCGAACAGCTCAACTTACAAGAAAGAGAGTATTTCGGTCTCTTGTTCAACCACAAAAAAGAGAAGGTAAAGATGACGAAGGAATCAAAGTACAATTTTATGTATTGTTATATTTCAAAATACGATAAAGAGGAGACTAAGAAGTTGTTGACAAGTTTGTAACGCAGGCAGTTTATCAAATTCTTTTATTTTTACCGCAGGGGTGAAAATGTTTATACTTGCATAGTAATGAGCGTCTAACTATTATCGTTGTATGCACACAAATAAAATAATCTAAGTAATAAATGTAGGTGTATCCTTGACACATTGAAATCATGGAAGTGTTTGGGTTAATTACTGTACAARATTTTCATTTAATTTTGATTTTCGTTGTTTTTAGTATTGGCTTGAACCACGAAAAGTTATCAAAACACAGCTGAAAGGTAAAAAGGCACCATCCATGACTAATAACATGTGACTCCACACCCTATACTTCAGTTAGATTACAACTAACTAGACTCTTCGACTACTTTACATTTGGAAATCCTATGATGTACTGGAATCAAGGCTGGAAAACACCTGTCTAGTATTTGTTCCATATTCTGTTGCAGTTTTTTTAAATATTATTAATTTTTCTTTGAAATGTTTCTTAATAACTTTTGTTGATCCAATATGTAGTCCTCCACATATTATAATCAATAATCTTTWCTCTTATTTTGTCTATGAGTGAAGTTTGAATTCGCATTTACATTAGGAAAATAGAAACACTGTCTTGGAGACATGTTGAATTATAATTTTCCATTTGTTATCTCAAAATTTAAGGGATGGCAAAAAACAGACACTTTATGATAGAATATTTGATTAGATGACAATTTTGAACCAGTGAATTTTCTTGTTTTGATAACCTCGCAAGAGGTCTACACCATGGTTTTTAAGACCTTGTCAATTCTCTTTGTGTCAAGCCGTCTAGTGCCTATTAGTTTGCTAAGTAAACCTTTACTRGATTATAATACTGATGCTTATAGTGGCTGTTATTTGTATTTTCCTCTTGACAAATAAATGACAGTGGTCCTCTTGGTTATTGCCTGCATCACTTGACAATATACAAAATGAATTGTTTTCAAAGTCAAAAATTCAATTTCAAAGTATGCGAAGTAGATATCTGCCTACAAATATACTACAGTACATTATAATTGATTACTGATGGTAAAATACTTGGAGATTATGCTTATTTTGGACAATTATAGTTCATTTATCTAATCCAAAATGACATACAAATAGCAGAAAAATCATTTCTTAATTCATGTGGTTTTTTATAAGTTTTAGACCATTAGTGGCTGTTTACATTAGGATATATGGAAGATAACATTTCTATTTTTACAATAAATAAAATCAGGGTTTTTTTTCAATCACATGCAAAAAAAGCAGTTTTAGTGGTAGATTTAAGATGTTTTCTTTGCTGTCTTTGTTTACTAATACTTGGTAGTTCCTCTCAGAAAATGGAGAATAACTGACATGGATTTCATTTGACAACACTTGTATTTAGAAATTTTTATACATAAGCTGTGTGTTCTTTCAAATATGTCACAATTGTGTTGGATTATAGTACCATTAGGTTTACATTATACTAGTAATCTTTTCTTAATGCAACTGTGGTTTGATTTGTCGATACACAAGTGATYAATAGAAAAGTATTTTCCTAAGTAATGTAACTCAATGCAGAATTAAAAGAGCAGTATGTTTTTTCACATTAAGTTATTTTAATAAGTCTATGATATTGTATGTAATTTTTCCTAGAGTCATTATTGTAAATAATAATAGTTACTTGTTATTCCAGATTTCATCAACTGCAAGAGAGTTCAATAAACTACTATTRATTATAAAGATTATGAACAATAATGTTCTTGCTGTATCAGTAATCTTTCATCATTATAACATTGTCTGTTTGACAGGATCAAAACCAGAATTCAGCCTTGCTGTCAAGTTCTATGAACCATTCCCATCTAAGCTCAAATCAGACTATACAAGGTAAGGAATACATTCTGCATGAGATCCAACTTATAACTCACTATAAGGTGATTGTAATGATGATGATGAGTATAATGATGACAATATATTTGATATTTTTATGTTCAATTATCAATAAAATGTCTTGTCATTCAGATATATGCTATGTCTACAAGTTAGAGATGATATTAATTGTGAAAGGTAAGAGACCAGCCACACATGACCAAGCATGGGTCAGTAATAACTATTACTGGTTTATATATCATAGGTACTTTAAAACTATTACTGGTTTATATATCATAGCTAGTAGATATATGGTTCTTGATTTGTTTGCATACTTTTAATCCAAAACTTATGTTATAAATGCTTTTTTTCTAGACTGCCATGTTCTTTTGGATCCCAGGCATTGCTTGGTTCTTATATCGTACAAGGTACAGTCAATCAAATGCTTTCATGCTTTGTCAATAATAGAGCAGATTTAGTATGACTGTCGAACAGCACTGATCGCCACATGACCACAACACGGCATGGCCATGGACACCGTCTGGTAGTGACACTAAGTGAAAACACTGATACATCATCATTGTGGCATGGTAGACTTTCAGTACTACAGTATTATTGTTTTTGGGCAGTCATCTGAAAACTGCTCTAAATGKTAATGTCATTATGGTGAAATTGTATCGTAATAATACAGTATTTTGCAATACATTCCTATCATTATCAGTTGGTGATAATTGTGTTACACATAATCATATTATGATCCATTTTTTAGGTGAGCTGGGAGACTATGACCCAAGAGAGCATACTGGAAATTACCTGGAAGGGATGGTATTTGGTCCAAATCAGGTACTGCAAATAATAATTACATCTTTTACATGACTTTGAATGAAATTATAAACCATTTCCAAAATTGACAATTTCTTTGTATTAAAGACAGAAGATCTTGTGGACAAAATAAGAGAATTGCATAAAGTGAACAGGTATATTATATGGTGTCATATTGACAWGTTTGTAAATTAGTAGTTTTAGTTRAGATTAATGATTAGGTATTCATATCTTTGTTAAGTGTTAACATGTGTAATTTATAGAGGAATGTCTCCTGCCCAGTGCGATTTACAGTATCTAGAAGCRGCCAGAAAGTTGACCATGTATGGAGTAGATGCCCATCCTGCTACGGTAAGTTATCTATAGATGTATATTTATATTTTTTAACACACTTGTTTTGCACACTGATTGGCTGATAAGAGTGTGTCAATAAAAGGACATGCATGCTGACACCATCACATCATATTTTAGTATCCGTGAAAAGAATAAATATGTTAATCCATAGTACAGCTGGAAGTGATTGATATAATGTTGTTCTAACATTCATTTAGGATGGCAATAACGATGAAATTCTTATTGGAGTCTCACACGCTGGAGTTTTAATATTTAAAGATGATCTTAGACAGAACAGGTTTGCCTGGTAAGTTAACAGTTCATGTCCACTATAGGTTAATGTAAGTCTGACTGTTCTTTACTACTCTATAGGCAGAAAGTCATTGAACTGCTCTACAAAGGAAAGCAATTTTCCATTAAGAGTAGACCAGGAGAGGTAATCAATCTGTTCATATTATGGTGTAAATTTTGATGAAATTGTACATTGTGTTTTGATATTTTTGTAGGTGTTTCTCAATGTTGTCATGTTTTTCATCATAAATGTATTATTATTATTCATTTATTTATGTAATGTTTTTATCTACAAAGCTGGAGCAACTGATAACTACAATGACCTTCAATATGCCATCAGAAAAGGCAGCCAAACGATTGTACAAGTCTTGTGTTGAACACCATACCTTCTTCAGGTTGGTATTTTTTGTGTATTAGTATCTCAGTCGTCTGTGATCTTGATATTCCTAATATCCCATTTTCAATATTCAAAGAATTGAAAGATCTAGATGTGCATGCAATGTTCTTTAAGTGAAATTGAAGTTCTTTGTTGTATCGTTTTCTAGGCTGTCGTATCCTGACCCTCCACCAACAAAAACCGATACTCTCAAGAAGGGTTCCAAGTTCCGCTACAGTGATAGAACGCTTTACCAGATTCGCAAAGAAGGCTTCCCTGTCACTCAGGATCCACCCAAGTTTATGCGTGTATCGAGTAGGAATTGGTCTGCACGCTATGAGCCAGCTACCACAGAGATTGTTGTTGTTGCTGATGAAGAAAAGAAGAAACGTCCTCARGACAGYCGACACCATGGATCACATGACAAGAAACACAAAGGAGAGAGAGTTGTAAGTTACAGTCGTGTTTGTTTCATCTCTTTAACTTCTGAAGATTTCAWTTAAATTTTGCTTTGAATAAAGATTGAAAATAGTGTATCCGTTTTGCACTATCAATTTGGAAAACATTGAGATTGCAAAGCTGTAAAAGTTTACTTATGGTTCGTTGTGTCTCGTCTCTTTTAGGGAGACTTTAATAAGCAATTACGACAACAATATACACGACTTCTAACATAAATACATTGATTCAGGCTCCACTATCTGAGGAAGAAATGATGGCTACAATGACGGCTGAAGAACGAGCAGAATACAAGAGAAAAATGGCTGAACGACTTGGAACTGTAACCACCACAACTACCACTACTACTACCGTGTACTACCCAGGGGAAGGAGGCGAGGATGATGATACGATTAAAGCTCAAGGTGCAGGGATTGTAGAAAGTGGTGCTGTTGCTTATGGAACGAGCGAACGTGATGCCGCTCACGTAACAGCACTCAAAGACGAAGAGGAAAGGAAGAGGAAAGAACAAGAAGAGCGAGAAAGAAAAAGAAAGGAAGAAGAACGAGAACGAGAAGAACGAGAAAGAAAACTTCAGCAAGAACGAGAGAGAGAAGAAGAAGAAAGGGAAAGAGAACGGGAAAGACGTAGACGAGAACTTGAAAGACTTGCGTAAGTAATATGTCTTCATCGTTATCATCATCAACGCATGATTAAGYAATTGCAATGATAGCGCGTATATGTAACTTATCAAAAGTTTCTGTTCAATCTAGTGCTGCTGACAGAGCTGATATAGCGGCCAGGAAACCACCCACTGAGACGTAAGTATTTGTTTTCATTTGTTTATCTATTTTGGTCAGTTTTTTTAGCGTGATTTATAGACCTGTCATGTAAAACGGRACTCCATCTTCTCTATCTATGGTTGTCTGAATTGCCAGTAAATTGACTAATAAACTGATGAGCTAGTTAACACACGCCTTTGGTAATGTCCTTATATATCTGGTGTTTATATACGATAAACCAATCAAATTCAACTACTCTTTAAGGCTGTTATTCAAGTCAACAACCGTCACACCCAAAAAAGATGAAGCCGAACTACTTGAGTTTAGTTTTGCTACACCGACCTCATCTGGTGATACTATTAAACGTGCAAAGATGAAGACAGCTGAGACCGATTCGTATAAAGGRCGCGTMGTTCGCGTACAGGATGACGCTGAGGTATTTGWWACKWCTAATATTTTGTATTTTTGTTTGTTTTMTTGTTTATAGTAAGGCTATTATTTTGATGGTGCATGTTTCTAAGGTACTGAATTAACTACCCAAGATACAGTTCACAAGTGTCCTCTATGTTGTAGACATTTTATGTCAGTTATCCCCACTGTTTGCAATAACAATACCCTGTCTCTTAACAACAGGTTTTGATATTTTTTTCATTTCACTGCGATTTAATAATCATGTTGAATWTGATTATTCAAATTATATCTTAAGTTTGTTTCTATTTTTCGTTTTCTCGATAAAAAAGCTAAAAAAATGCAGAAATTGATATAATTGATTGTTTTMCTGTCAGCCAAAACAAGCAGCACCGCCACCACCAGCACTCAAACCAAAACCAAAGCGTGAAGAACCSTARGCACATGGTCACTCCACCCTTCCTCCTCGTACTCAACCAATCCATACCATTGAAGATGATGATGATGATCGTAGAAAGAGCGCYGATGATATGGATTCTAAACGTGGTCGCGGTGTACCTCTAATCACAAAAGAAGAACTAATCCGTAGTTACTCCCCTGCAGGATCACGGGAAACAAAACCTGAACCAAAACGACCATCACAAAAAGAACGCGAAAGTGATCAAGTTGCTTCAAATATCAAACGATATTCCTATGAAAAAGAAATCGAAGACCAACCATACACCGAGGTTCGAACTGATAAYGTGGTGATAGGYCCTGGCAGTGAAAGCCATGTGTACCATCATCGAATACCTCCAGAGGTGAAGACCCAATCATACACCATCAGTAGTGTTGGTGGACCCGTCAGGAAACCCGTCTCAGAAGATGTTCAAGTGATCGAAACACGTGAGGTTGAATCAGCACCACCCGGAGGTACGAACGACTCGTCAAGGGTCGTTAGTCATATTCCTAGCGTAACAACGCGGCGAATGTTGTACGATCAGCCAGTTGCGCCTGCCGCTTCTWGCACAGGTGAGGTTAAGCTACTGGCTGACTACTGACTGATGCAACGCTAATGATACGAGCTGTGCTTCATAATGTTAACTTAATCTCAAATTACCATAAGGGAGTAAGTTTTGAAAAAAGGSCGTGMCCRCCRAAGTGGATGGAATGYGTAGTTTTTGMAGGGTATCGTTGTGTGACTTTTTTCGTAAACSAGTTAAATCTTGTTTGTAAACCAGTTCTCGTTGTTCGTTGACCAATTTGTTGGTCAAAAAGTCTGTATTGAGTAGTATATAATATACTATTTTGAAAGCACGTTCGATGTTTATGTAGATCAACAAGGTGGAATGATTGTTACACGGACGGTGACTATCGATGGCAARAAACAAACCGAACCTATTCAAACCGAAACAATCAAACACACGACAATGCCAACTGAAATCATCACCAAGACAATCACAATAGAAGGAGATGGTGGGCCATTAACAGCACAAGAACTCAAGGAAATCATGGCACAACAAGGAGCTAACATCGACAGTGAAGTGATTACTACGGTAATGAAATGACCTTATGTGATGGCTATGTGTMTGTCGTTKCCGCCATCCCTCCAGTTCGCATTGCTRCATTCCTATAGTTAAAACCATTCAAATCAAGTTATGATTAGTTTTATCAATGTTTCAGACATACACGACGACAACTCGGGAACACCGGGTAGAGAAGACTGTATCTGAGAAGATGAGTCTTGTTGACGAGGATGGTAATGTGATTTCCACAGGAGATCCTGATACCGACCGGGTAATTATTATATGAAATAGTAACTGCAATGGTTATAACTCCTTATCAGTTTTCTGTCCAGCACTAAAAAGTCGGGGAGATGTCGGTTTTGAGATTTTGAGATCTTTCTCAGCCACACCCCGATGAGTTATTAATGAATARCAATGTCGTTGTTTGCATGTAGAACAAACTAAATGACTTGATATTTAATGGCTAATTCCTTGTTTCCACTAGGCTATCGAAGAAGCTATCAGACAAGCCAAAGAAGCTGATCCAAATGTAAAAGTAACAGAAGTTATGATAACACGCGGTGATGAAAGCATTGCCTAGGTATAACACCTATTATAGACAGACTACTTTTTCATTTCATTCATTTAAGAGTCATTATCTCATTTCAGGTTTTCCAGTATTCCTACTATCGTACAATTGTAGCTCCAAGCAACGTCCTAGCTGTAAACAATTCAATGGATAATTATATCATTTATTTTAACAAAAATTGCTGTGTGCMCAGAACATGGTGTTCTCTTGTGATATTCAGGACGCRGTGTTTAGTTAACAAATCCATGACCATCGTCGAAAACGTTTGTGCTGGTCGCACAGAACTCCTTCGTTCTTAGACATCAAATGGTTGTGCACAGCGTAAAAATGAAATTCTCACGAATAGATAACAATAAACTAGTCAAAATATTCTAGAATAGCGTTATTTATAATGTATAKGACAATATTATCCAATAATTCTGTATTTACAATAATTTTTTTCTTTTTCTAGCATCTTTTTCATTTAATGCCAGGGAACAATTCCTCGCAAACTCTTATTTTTAAAATCCTTTTTAGTTTTAGTTTGAATGTCCTCAAAACTGGTTTTGATAAGATTGACAATATTTTTGTACAACTTCTCTTTTTTGTTAAGTCAGTTTTTAATCTTCTGTGAAGTTGTAGTGCTTCATTTTTATTAAATTTTTTTGAATCGTGTAGTAAAATAACTTTAATTGATTTTAGCAGCTTGAAATGAAATAAAGTTCTAAAAATTTGAGTAGATTATCTCCTCCTCCTCCTCCTCCTCCTCCTCCTGCTCCTCCTCCTGCTCCTCCTCCTCCTTTGCGTTCTTCGAAATGATACAAGGTTATGTCTTCAGTTCAGGTCATGAAAGCCGTGAAACAAAAACAAGTATTTTACCACAGGATGTTTAGGTTGTATCGGTAACAGAAAATTAAAAAAGTAGCAAATCTTAGTAATGTGCAGACCATAGAAAAAGTCGACAAGTGCTGAGCTAGGAATATCAAAAGTTTTTCGCCGTGAGAGTGTGTTCATTGTTAATTAGATTTGACCATTGGGTAAAATATATAGTGAAGTATCCTTTCATTCCATTTCTGTTGCCCATATATTTGAGTTATGAAACTGCTAACGGCCATAAAACGCTATAAGAGTTAAGTCCATTGCAAGTAACACACAATATGGTTTACATTTGATTTTATTAGTGCGACTGATCCACAGAATGAGAACAAACAAGTGATCAACAAACGCGGCACGTTTTCCTGCAGTGAGGCCAAACGCTTGGGTAGTTACAATAATATCTGGAACGATAACACCATGAYATATGTCCAGTGTCCACACACCCTGTGAGAGAAAAACAAGTTTGTTATGTTCAAACAACTGAATTTAAACAAAATACAGTAAGAGGAGATACTGATTTGTTTAATCCCACCAGCCTATTGAATATTAAAGCAACAAACTGAAACGATACGTACTACACATATTGCAGCTTTTCTTGCAGTTTTTGTACATGAACGTAGGGTTTGATGTGCAGTAACCTCGATAAGCCCAGCTTGGACATTGGTAGTTTGAATTAGCGCAAGCTGAAAATACATTTGATGACTGTGATACATGAATCTAACGGGTCCTMGATAAACRGGATCAAGTCATGGTCATTTCATATTTAAGTTTTTTACTTACAGGTTGTTTGGCCGCATGTGTTACAACTCTTCTTACAGTTCACCAGCATGTACGCTGCGTTTCTGTGACATTCTCCGCTTTGCGCCCAAATTCTACAGTTTGAATTTCGATCATAACACGAATCTGTTGAGATACAGTGAATATTTTCATTAGAGGCAGATTCTATTGATCTTTTTTGTTGGAGTACGCGCAA